AGATAGAGGGATATACCACACACGCGCCCGCGGCACACTGTAGACGAGCACAAACACGCATACACGCCCAGCACCTCTCTCCAGCTCTCTCTCTCACACACACACATCACACACACACACGCACGCGCCGCACGCACACAACAGAGCAGTAGGAGAGAGAGAGAGAGAGAGGAAGAGAAGAGAGAGGAGAGAGAGAGAGAGAGAATGAAGAGAGAGAGAGCAGAGAGAGAGGAGAGAGAGAGAGAGCAGATAACACACGCGCCCGCGAACACACATGCACGCACAACACACGCTCTCAGCCCACACACGCACTACGCGCGCGCGGCAGCACGCACACAAGCACACACACCAGCACACATCACACACGCGCGCGCGCGACACACGACCACACACGCACACGGCAGCACTCAGCGACAGAGAGAGAGAGGAGGACACGCGCGCGCGGCGACACACACACACACACAGCACACACACACACAGCACAACACACACACACCACTCAACGAGAGAGGAGAGAGAGAGACAACGGACGCCGCGGCACACACACACGACACACAGCAAACACACACACTACACAGCACACACAGCACACACACACCACGCACAAGGCATGCTCTCTCCTCACACACACACACGCACGCACGCACACGCGCACGCCACGACACGGCACGCACGTGGCGCGCACGCACGCACACAACAGGCACGCCACACGCGCCACGCAACGCACGCACCACACAGAGCAGAGAGAGAGAGAGAGAGAGAGAGACGAGGGAGAGAGAGAGAGAGAGAGAGATGAGGAGATGAGAGAGAGAGACGAGAGAAGAGAGAGAGAGATACACACCCGCCGCCCGCGCACAGCACACATCGCGCACAGCACACATCTCTCCCACCCTTCACGACAATGACGGTCAACACGCAACGTCACACGCTACACACACACGCGCGCACACACACACACGCGCACACACACACACACACACCGCCAACACTCACACTAGAGAGCAGAGAGAGAGAGACACCGCGCGCGGCGCGCGCACACACACACACACAGCAATCTCTCTCTCTCTCAACAATCTCACAGCACAAGCAGCCGGCGGACGCGACAGCACACGCGCACGCACGCACGCACAGCGCACGCGACGCAACGACAGCCACACACCACACAGACACACCGCACACAGCACGGGCGCGCGCGCGCGCACATCTCAACATCACGACAGCCACCACACACACCACAGATAGAGAGAGAGAGATAGAGAGAGAGCAGAGAGAGGAGAGACGAGAGAGTAGAAAGAGAGAGAGAGAGAGAGGAGATACACACATCGCGCGGCACAGCACACGAGCACCACACACATCCGCGCGGCGCCACGTGACACACCACATACAGCACACACACACACACACAAGCTCGCATCACTCTCACGCGCACGCACGCAACTGGCACGGCACGCACACACGCCACCCACACACAGCACAGCACACCACACACCATCCACAAATCACTGTCAAAACGTCAAGCGGTTGACTGTGGTTTGCTCCACCTTCTCGTAGAACCTAGAGATGAAAGCGTACGACGAACACTTATGTACCGGGTTGTGGACACGTGCTGCGACAGGCATCTGCCTGGCAACGGTTTTATCACCAACCGATTAATGGGTCGGTCTCGATACGGACAACCTATTGGCAAGCCACATGGTTCGCAACGGTCCAGCCGTACCAGAGAGCTTAATTTAAAGATGCCAATAACAACCAGAGAACATGGACGTGAAGGTGACAGAAATATTCGCAGGTTGGAAGTACTGACGCGATTCAGATGGTGAAGCATGGAGTGATGAAGTACTCTGATGTGGAGGTGAAGACGGGGAATTCTGTAGGAAAACCAAACTTTTATAGAATGCTACGAATCCATAAGTTTGGTCTATATACAAGCTTAATATTGCATGGTTGAGAATTTTAATTAGCGACAACTTGTACTTTCACTTTTTCTGGGAGTCTGCGCAAGGGCGTAAAGTTTCAGAAATGCAAATATGATAAATGCATAAAACATGATGGTTTCGAAGCCTAAGATTGATAAGTTGATTATTAAGATGATTTTGAATACTTGATAGTCAGATGGTAAATGCAATAATAAAAATGTTTAATTAGCTGAATTGCCTAAATTGCGGAGGCAATATGTGCATTTGGGATTGTAAATGAATGCCATATGAATGTTTCAGTTTTATAAATAAAATACCTTTGTGTCATACCTTGTGATGATGGACCTTGTGAGTAATATTTTTATTTTTATTTATATTGCCGTATGTTTTGAGCAGAAACTATTCAGGTAAATTTGTCTTGCCGCATGATTTTTGAAGACACTTCTTGCTTTTTCTTCCTTTGCATTATAGTCCACTGAAGTGGGGCTCGCTGCAGTGGATAGTACTGTATATATAACCACTATATATAGTAATATACACTGTATATGAGAAATTGAAAGTGGTGAGAAGAAGTTGCTTTATATAAGGGAAGTAATGTTGTTTCATCAAATCAATGTCTTGTTGTGCATTCGGAGATGTTGTTAAAGATTCTATTCTGCAAATTAACAACATGAAAAAAAAGGTATTTTTTGTTTTGAGACAGCAAAGCCTGACCGTGGATGCAGTGGTTTCCTATCGCACTAAATCAGAAGTATATAATAGACTAAATTATCTATCTTCTGCAGTAATCTATCTAAAAGATACAAGCTGACCGGGGGGCAGTTGGGGCGTCTGTGAGACACCAACCACCTGATTATTCTGGCAGTGGCCATTCAGCGATACAACGCAATGGCACAAGACCGAAACATTTTCCCAATAGGTTCATGGGGGTTCTCCTCTCCAGGTAATCTAGCTCATTTTTGCGGGTGGCGGCAGTTGAGGCGTCTGCGGATCAGCCACCACCACTGAATTTTCTTGGCAGTGAGCCAATTCACATACCTGGCGCTATTGCCGGACATTGATCGTAATGGGTGCGCAGAGGTTCTTCGCAGCTAATCTAGCTCAAATTTTGGGTAACGGTTTTTTAGCGTCTGGCGCTGCGCGCACCCACCACTAAAAACTGGCAGTGGTCCATTCCTGATACCTGGGAGACATGCCAAACGGACATTTTCGCATAGGTTTCATGGGTTTCTCTCTCCCTCAATCTAAGCTCATTGTTAGGGGGTGGCAGTGTGGGGCGTCTGCGGATACACCCACACCTGAAGTATTCTGGGCAGTGGCCATTCACGATACTGCGGACTATGTGAACATTTTCCATGCGTGCCAAGAAGGTTTCCTTTACCAAGCTAATCATATGGCTCAATTTTGGTTGGTATCGGTTTTTTAGTCTCTGCGCGATGCGCAGCACCACTAAAAAATTCTGGCAGTGTCCATTCCTTGACACCGTGGGACCATCGCCGAAACATTTTCCAATAGGTTTCATGGGGTTCTCTTCCAGCTAATCTACCTCAATTTTGGGGTGCCTTTCAAAATGACCCCACTGACCACCACAGCCACCAGCGGCCTGCCTGCCAGACTTACATTTCCTTACATGGGTATGTACAACGAATCTTGTATATGCATGAAAATTGTTTCCTTTCCAGCTACGGCTGACCCCCTGGGCCTCCGTTCTATATCGGTAAGTATAGGCGTTTAATCTTTATTGTCGTCCTCCAGTATCTGCGTTCTACATCCAACAGCGGTCACGATACCTCTCCATACGGTGGCTGCAGGATCCTACCTACCAAAAAAACGTCTGCTGTAAATAAGCTCATATTTTTGGTGATGAACGATAACTAACAATAGATCTGTAACATCTTTTAGCCTCTCTATCTATCAGTCTGCCTCGCCACCTTTCTACCTTTTTGCCTGTTTCCCACGCTCTCTTTCTATCAGTCTGTCTCTCTACATTCTACCATTTCTTGCACGCTGCTTCAACGATATCCTAATTCTTTCTGATTATCCAGACTTTACTGCAGATATATGCTTACATTCATGCGTTGGTGCGTGTGTGTCCGGGAACCTGCGTGTGTCTGCGTGTACACGTCCGTCTGTTCTGCATCCACCCGTGATAATGAAATGTCTCTTTAAGGTGACTGTAAGATGATCACACCTGGAAAAACAACAACATCTGCAGTTAACTAACTCATATTTTGGTTTACAATACAATGATTAAATTCTATGTTTCCTAGTGCTAATACTACTATTTTTAATCTCGCTCTCTTTCTCTATCTATCAGTCTATCTCTCCCCCTCTCTATCATTCTAACTTTTCTTCACTTTGCTTCCACAGTATCCTAATTTTTTTCGATTATCCAAACCTATGTAAGTAAGTAAGTAAAAATTGTATTTAACGACGGTAAAACATGTTAGGTACATACACAATAAATTGGCGCGGACCCATCTTCCACACGGCCGTCTCGAGAATCCTAACTGCATATGCGCTGCTTACATGCATGCGTTGGTGTGTGTGTCCGGGAACCTGCGTGCAACTGCGTCTATCTGCCCACAGTCTGTCTGTTCTACATCCACCAGTGATAATGAGATGTCTCTTAAGGTGACTGTGGGATCATCACACGTTATTCACACCTGAAAAAAACAGCAAAATCTGTAGTTAACTAACTCATATTTTGGTTTACAAATACAATAATTAAATTCTGTGTTTCATACTGCTACTACTTCTATTTTTAATCTCGCTCTCTTTCTCTCTTGCTATCAGACTTATCTCTCTCTCTCTCTGTATCTTTCCACCTTTTCTTCACTCCACTTTCACAGGATCCTAATTGTTTTGGATTATCCAAACCTACCTGCATATATGCTGCTTACATTCTTGCGTTGGTGCGTATGTCCGGGAACCTGCGCGCGTCCGTCTGCCCACAGTCCATCTGTTCTGCATCTACCAGTGATAATGAGATCTCTCTCTCTTTACGGTGACTGTGAGATCATACCTGTGAGAAAACAGCAACATCTGCAGTTAACTAACATATATATTTGGTTTGTGAATACAATGATTAAATTGTGTTTTCCACTGCTACTACTACAATTCTTAATAGTTTGTGCCATCACAAAGCATAAATTCACATGTTTACAATAACGTTCTAATTAGTGCTCGTAAGGTTTGTGTTTTTTTATAAAACTTACACAATTATTTCTATATATATAGGTGGCTCTCTTTCTCCCTTGCCATCTTTCTCTATCTATCTGTCTATGTATCTCCCTCTCTATCTAACAGTATGTCTCTCTACCTTTCCACCATTTCCTCACTCTGCTTCAACAGTACCTACCTTTTTCGATTTACCAAACCTAACTGCATATATGTTGCTTACATGTATGTGTTGGTGTGTGTCCAGAAACCTGCGCGCATCTGTGTGTGTACGTCTGTCTGTTCTGCATCCACAAGTGATAATGAGATGTCTTTCTTTACGGTGACTGTGAGATCATACCTGTGAGAAAACAACAACATCTGCAGTTAACTAACTTATATATATTGGTTTACGAATACAATAATTAAATCCTGTCTTCTACTGCTACTACTACTATTTTTAATAGTTCGTGCCATCACACAGTAGAAATTCACATGTTTACAATTAATGTTCTAATTAGTGCTCGTAAGGTTTCTGTTTGTTTGTATGAATCTTATGTTCTCTATATATGTGGCTCTCTCTCCCGCTCTCTTGCCATCTTTCTCTATCTACCAGTCTATGTCTCTCCCTCTCTATCTAACAGTCTGCCTCTCTACCTCTCTACCATTTCTTACCCTCTGCTTCCACAGTATTCTAATTATTTTCGATTATCCAAACCTACCTGCATATATGCTGCTTACATGCTTGCGTTGGTGCGTGTGTCCGGAACCTGCGCGCGTCCGTCTGCCCACAGTCTGTCTGTTCTGCATCCAGCAGTGAGAATGAGATATGTCTCTCTTTACGGTGACTGTGAGATCATACCTGTGAGAAAACAGCAACATCTGCAGTTAACTAACATATATATTTGGTTTGTGAATACAATGATTAAATTGTGTTTTCCACTGCTACTACTACAATTCTTAATAGTTTGTGCCATCACAAAGCATAAATTCACATGTTTACAATAACGTTCTAATTAGTGCTCGTAAGGTTTGTGTTTTTTTATAAAACTTACACAATTATTTCTATATATATAGGTGGCTCTCTTTCTCCCTTGCCATCTTTCTCTATCTATCTGTCTATGTATCTCCCTCTCTATCTAACAGTATGTCTCTCTACCTTTCCACCATTTCCTCACTCTGCTTCAACAGTACCTACCTTTTTCGATTTACCAAACCTAACTGCATATATGCTGCTTACATGTATGTGTTGGTGTGTGTCCAGAAACCTGCGCGCATCTGTGTGTGTACGTCTGTCTGTTCTGCATCCACAAGTGATAATGAGATCTCTCTCTCTTTACGGTGACTGTGAGATCATACCTGTGAGAAAACAACAACATCTGCAGTTAACTAACTTATATATATTGGTTTACGAATACAATAATTAAATCCTGTCTTCTACTGCTACTACTACTATTTTTAATAGTTCGTGCCATCACACAGTAGAAATTCACATGTTTACAATTAATGTTCTAATTAGTGCTCGTAAGGTTTCTGTTTGTTTGTATGAATCTTATGTTCTCTATATATGTGGCTCTCTCTCCCGCTCTCTTGCCATCTTTCTCTATCTACCAGTCTATGTCTCTCCCTCTCTATCTAACAGTCTGCCTCTCTACCTCTCTACCATTTCTTACCCTCTGCTTCCACAGTATTCTAATTATTTTCCATTATCCAAACCTACCTGCATATATGCTTACATGCATGCGTTGGTGCGTGTCCGGGAACCTGCGCGCATCTGCGTGTGTACGTCTGTCTGCACACAGTCCGTCTGTTCTGCATCCACCAGTGATAATGAGATGTTTCTTAAGGTGACTGTGAAATCATACCTGTAAGAAATAAGTGTTATCTGCAGTGGACAAAATTAGCCCCATTTCCATTAGGTCTAGGAAATGTAAAGGGAAATGGAACAAAGTCGGCGTGTTAGCGTTTAATGTTTATGTTTGTGTTTGTTTGTGTGAAGCTATGCTCTTGATATATCTGACGTCCTTTCTCTTTCTCTTTCTTTTTCTCTCCCTTTTGCTCTCCTTCTCACTCACTCTCGGTCACTCTATTCTTACCTTTCCCCCATGAAGCCCCCTCTCCCTACTCCATGAAATCCCTTTCGTGATCCTCAGATTAGAGGCTACCATGGGCCATCTTTTTAACATTAATTTAATCAGATTTCATGAGCCGTATGGTGAAAGCTTACCCAAGCGTCATATCGATCGTAATCGGTTTGCAAATAAACTACATAAGCTGTCACCATGTCCAACGAATGTCACTTGTACAACACAAGGCCTTGAAAATGGGTCAATGTTTACAGGAAATCGATGTACATTTATCGCACCAACAGCATTAAAACATGCTAACAAATGACACAGTCCCACAAAAACATGTAATCTTCCAC